ACCCACGAGCCGTTAGGACGTCCAGTAGATAGAAATCCCGATAAAATTGAAATACTCCGAGGTCAAAAATTTCGAACCAAGTATGAAACGCGCGGTCACTGTTTCGAGTACAGGCAGATCAGATGAGATCTCATACAGGCGTATCTCATTTTGAGGAACCGGGACTGTACCCTTGACCCCGAAGATTTCTCCACCCTGGCCACAACAACAAACCTGTGCGGGAACTCTGTTAAACTAAGAGCATCCCGATTTCGCCAGGATGTTCGCAGGTAGTCTTTTTCGCAGCGAGTCGTCGGTGCTTTTCACGTAATTCCCTTGGACGTGGTAGTGGCGAATTCCGCGGAGACATTTAGACGGAGACTAGATGTATATTTGTTTGAAAAGTACAGCTTATCTGGGCAGAAAAGCTCTGTTCTACCAAACCAACGTCTTGCATACAGTTTCCGCTAATGAGGATAATTGTCATCTCATTTTGCTGTTATCACCTACAACCGAGTACTCTCATGTTTCCGTCCTGCATCTTTACAGGCAATATTCTGTTAAGTGTAAATACCACTGACAACACTTTAGTTCCGTATTTATTTAAAGTTAGGTATTGCATGTGCCGTTTTCAAAGGCTTTGCCTATTACTCTTAAAATATGCCGACGTATGCCGACCTAACATACATACGTACATTTCCTCTGCCTGCTTGCTTAGTGCGAATAATGAGCGTCTGACTACCTTATTCAGTTCGTCTTAGTTCGCGAGTTGTCTCTTGTAATTCATGCTACGTCGTGTGTGCTATCCTCAGCGTCTTCGCCCTCTACAACAGGAATATTCTAAGAGCACGCACGTACTAAATTTACCTAATCACCAAACCGACATTGAGGACCAATCAGGAACGTCTGGGTGCCAGCGACCCCACAAGATTCCCCACGCGAGTTGGACGGTGTAAAGTCCCCGTTGTGGTAACGATCCCGTCTAGTGAGAAGAGTGGTCAACGAGGCCCAAAGGGATAAGTCAGACTAGTCACTGCTTTACTGAACGACCTATGTACAAAAAGAAACTAAGGGGAGAGTCCTAATTACAAAAATAAGCTAAATCTGGGAGGATTGTCCACAGGACGGCTTGGAACTCTGGGATCCAGCGGAGAGAGCGGCAGGGGTTCCTCGTCCGGAGAGCGGCGACCGGCCACGGGAGTTGTTGGGGCCTAATTTTCGCCCGTATTTAGGGCTTTTCCAGGGAGGGAGTCGCAAGGTTGGGGCCGCCATTGTTGATTGGTTGAGGGTAGGTCGAGGATGGAAAGTTAAACAAACTTATGCCAGGGCTATCTTGCTTAATTTTAGCGTTATAATAATTTATTAAATGCATACTTTTCGTGAGAAGCCAAATTGCGACTAAGTGCCTAGCGTATAAATATGGAAAAGTTCGGCGGGCGCGCCCCTTAAGGGGCGCGCTTTCTAGAACCTTCGCCAAGATGGCGGACGCACGTGGTCGGGCCTTCTAGAACTTCCTACATTGCTCCCCCTTGCGAAAAGGGTCTGCTTTCCTCAGCAGAATCATCTTGTTTGATGGCGGGTCCACCATCTGGGGGTACTTCGACAGTCTTCGCTATCGGGTGTCCATCCCTGAATACCTCAGCCGATGCGTAACCGCCTTCTGGGGGGACTTCTAAATACTGTTCGACTAGTTGGTCGTTGTATTCGTGGGACGGGTTGGGTCCCGAGTCGGCAAGGTCTGTGTCCTCCTCTGACTACCTTATTCAGTTCGTCTTAGTTCGCGAGTTGTCTCTTGTAATTCATGCTACGTCGTGTGTGCTATCCTCAGCGTCTTCGCCCTCTACAACAGGAATATTCTAAGAGCACGCACGTACTAAATTAACCTAATCACCAAACCGACATTGAGGACCAATCAGGAACGTCTGGGTGCCAGCGACCCCACAAGATTCCCCACGCGAGTTGGACGGCCCGGTTGTTGCGCGCCGGGGTGCGTTCTAGGTATTCTACCGACTGTCGTCCAAAGTTATTTATTATATCGAGCAATTTTATGAAAATAATATGGTGAAACGCGGAACTTGCTCTATGAAATGGTCTTAATTGCATAACTTGATTGTTGTTAAACGCGAACACGTTCTACGTATACTTGTCGTCTCTACACGAATAATTAGTGAGGACTCGAGTCTCTTACAGTTTTCCAGTTGCATCTACTGTGCAGTCGCCTTTCTGTCCCCAGAAAGTTGTTGGTTTTCTGACCTGATGGTCTTTGGTGACGTACATCGACCAATAATTAGTTTTCACTAGAGCATGCATGCTCTCATGAGAGAATCATCTCATGCCGTTGTTCTCAAACGTGTGATTTTCTTATGAAGTTTTTGGCCATAGCACATTTTACTTACTATCACTTAAATATGACCCACTTTTTGAAGCGAATACAGTTTACTGTTTGTTAAAGTGCGGCAAATATTTGTCGTAAACTCGATGCTTCCATACGATAAGGCCCCGCCTGTCGCAGGCATTTCACCCTATTTAAGATTCCGATACCTTCTTTAACTTTATTTAGAAAGCCCGGCCGCTTGGGATTTAAGACGTTTGTCACAGCCACGCGCAATTCAATTTCCAGACTAGTACGCTTGTAGTCGGCGTTCTGCCTGAAGTCCATTTTTTATTGAGGGCCGACTAGCTCACAGCAAGCCGTAGACGATACACCACAGGAAATGTATAAAACAGTGATACGAATACTCTGGGCTTTCGTTCAAGGTAAGGCGGAAAAAACCGATCGCGACTTTCTGTTCGTTTTACATAGGGTTTCCAAACTCTTCTAGGTTTCTTTATCTCCTACTAGCGCCTTCAACCCGCAAGTACGTCTCTTCTCTCTAAGGAGTGGATTCTCAAGACTTAACAGAAAGATGTTATGATCGTGTACCGGCTTATCAACGACAATCGGAATTTCGGCAACTAATGTGCTCAGGAAGGTTTTTGCCAACTTGTTCTTAGTGGTCGCATCATCATGCTTAGATATGTTTGCTTGGGCATGGAAGGTGTTTTGTTTTCAGTTAGTCGCAAATCACTCTTGACTCTATTTCTCGTGCGTATTTATTAGGCCGATAATAGACAACTTATTGCTGACCAGTGGTTGCTGAATTTTCTGTCCTTTCAAATGGATTGCCAATCATGACAGTTCGACCGTCGTTGTCGAAGACGTCCACCGTGCGCTTCACAGCAAAGGGGGAGCAGACGATCATAGCTCCACATTGATGGGCACCACCGGACCTTATCCGGGCACCAGACACGGTTGCGGTCGACTTGTTTCAAATAACTGGTAAAAAAGCTCCAGCCCCAGTAGGCGCCTAATTTCAGTCCGTCATGGGCGGTAAGGAATCATAATTGTGAAACCTGCCTGGGCAGACAGCTGTAAGGTCTTTGAGCTGATTCAACTGTTGCGTCGCCGTTCGGTGAATCTGGCAACCTCGCGACGGCTCCAACGACTGAAGACTTCAATGATGATTATTTGCTACTGCCTTCTCAACTTGGGTTGCAAGGCGAGACCAGATTTGTATCCCCAGATCCTTAGTCGGAGTAGATGTTCGTAATTTTGTTCCTTTAAGGCCTCTTGAACCAGACGTCTTGGGTGCTGTGAACTTACAGGCGTTTATGACGGCGAACATGATCTAACCTCTGGGTGTTGCCGTTTTCGGCACAACGCGGTGAGCTGATATCATTAACCCAGCGTTGTAACTCTGAGCTGACTACAATGCAGTCGGTCTTACTGACCCCACAACATTAATTTGAATACCAGGTTATTAGATGTTTCCGACAGCACAGGATGCATGTTGACTTCATTAGTCTGTGAAGCCAACATTCTTCCATTATTGTCGCATCAAGGATCAATTTCAGGACTTCAAATTACTTGACTGGTTAAAGTGTCGTCTGACCCAGTCCGACCATTCCAACCCTCGATACCAATCGGTCAATCGCAACGGGAAGGTCCTTAAGTCAGCTCTTATTAGTATTGTCGCGTAGATAAAAACGCCACAGGGGTTAGTGAGGTGTTATTTCAGTCATACATAGGCTACTTGATCATTTACTGGTTCCCATGCAAGCAGTGCCTGATCCACCTATTTCGGGGGGACGTTCACCACTCCATTTCTGTCAGAATAGTCACATGGGCAGTGTGATTCAGGGTGAGGCTAGAGTTGACCCTCGCGATCCAGATTTCCCGGAGAGTCGGACTTCAGACAGACCACCCACAGTCAAATTTTGGGTATTATGGTCGTTGAAATAGCGCCCTCGCGGCAAGTCCGTAGCCAATTATTCACCAGACTCCGGAGCCTGCCGGCATCGTAGCTTTCGCCTAGGTTCACATCACAATCAGCAATCCGTTTATGCTTTTCTACAGAGCAAAGTGCTGTTCCGGGACAATGTTATCTGGTATCTGAACGTTATTTCGAACTGACGATTTTAAAACGGTCTTGTTCACTTTTGAAAAGGCTACGATATATGCTCAAGTTCTCACAAATACATAAACAGTATGGCTTAGGTAGTGTAACCAAGATTTGACTACGGCACCCTGGCGTCCCTTATACTATGCGGTCAACATCATCGATTTCTGAAAAGGTCATTTTTTTCGTTGCACACTCGGTGAAACATATTCTTCATCTTTTTGCATTACACTTTTGGCGTTCGAGCATAAATAACACATGGTTAAGAATGCCACTTTTTAAATCTGGAAGAGTTACAAGTGCTAAACTTGCGTTAAATGTGCAAAAGTTAGGCAGAACAGTGCGCACTTATAGGTATCGTCTGTGGCAGTATAATGCCTTACTGATGAAGGTTTTTAATATTATTTCCTATGCCTTAAACGAATGTGACCTTCCTATGGTCTAATCTAGAAAACTATGCCATTATTTTCAGTTCGAATAAAACTCAAACTCCTATCATCGAATCTGTTGTTCGTAAATTTTAGCTAATAGAAGTTTCTGTCCGGATTACATTGCCATAAATCCTTCGGAACTTCCCCAGCGATGTTCTACGCCTACAGGTTTGGATGAGTCTTCTTCTTAATACCCCTGCATTTAGACTTCTTCGGCTGCCTGCATCAGTGCCCCCGAAGAGGTACGCCACCACATCACCAAACATCGCACGTTTACCCCATATTTTGAATCCGAAAGTTGTTGCCGGCTCTGCAATCCTCACGGGATCGTACTTTTTATACCTATGGATAACGGATGATGGTAGGGCGCCGTCATCGTATCCTAAGACGCTTGAGGTATACTTGACTTTCTTCTATGAATTTCCATTTTCAACCTTGGTTTCCACAACCTCTTTCCCCCGAGAGGTTAACTTAGCGCCCACCCTGCATCAGTTGCCGGTCTAAAATTAAATTTTATCTATCTCCTTGCGTATTATTTGCTTCTTGCTGTTACTTCCGTTATTTGTCACCGTCCCTTCCCCTGCCCAGCATGTTGCATTCAGGAAAATAAGGAAACTAATACCGTGAATAGAAGTGTTGTTGCTCTATTCTCTAGACAAGCGAAATCTAGTTCTTTTATGCGCCTTCCGAAGATCTTAGACATCCGGGTGTCGAAGATTAGTATCGAACATTTCCAAATGCAGTCCTCCCATTTGAGCTACAAATGCATGTCCTGCCGGCTGAGATCCAGAATATTCAAGTCCACCCCGGAGTGGCCTTTACTGGTTGGTCTTAATCGCGGAACAGTAAATGGGCACTTCTGTTTTGTCTTAAAGCCCTGTGTACTAAGACCGTACAGTTGGTCGTATAGCGACTTGCATTACGCAATTGAGGGATGTTACTGGCAAAGACGGGGAACGTTGAAATAGCCACTGCAGGGTCCATAGTCGTCGCCAGTCATTGGTATTTTAGCCCCTGGCCTCAAGCCTAGGACATTCTATAAATGCCCATTCCAGTGTCTATTTGTCTGCTATATTCCTTAATTCTTAATTGTTAGTCGGCGTGCGACCTCCTGGGTAGGCCGTAGACCAGTCCACCCTCTTGGTGAGAAAACTCGGTGTGCTGCGGGGGGGGGCTAATTGTGTGTGTGGCACGCGCAGACGGACTGTGCGGCTTTGTCAGCCACCTGCGTCCCATCTCCACATTAGGTTGCATTAGACTAGCTCGAACAGTGGACCGACGTCTGGGTGAGGGAAAAGAGGGTGCGGTCGACTCTCAGCACATATTCCTCACTACAAACAATTTCATGCGCATGAATCTATCGCGGTGTGCTAAAAGCCGTGGCTTTGAAGACTGCCAGCTGATACGATAACTCGCTCCTCCCAGAAGGGGGAGCCAGGCTGCCATGGATCCTTCATACTATGGCATTCCCACTCTAGTGGGGTCCAAACCGACCACTTCTTGTTTTTGTGAAAACCCAGTCCATCGTGCGCTGACCAGGCCCGTGTGGCCCGCGTTCACAGGCCGTTCAGCCCTGTCAGTCGCCGCGTCCGATCCTGCCTTCGGTCTCGCGGAATCTGCTCTGACACCAGGCCTAAGTGGGTGAGGAAGGGCAGAGTGTGGTGGACGCTGCGCAGGTGTTCTAACTAATTCGGGCACAAGTCACCGTCCCTGCGCCTACCATGCTATGGGGCCTACGGTGGACATAGCCATCCACAGCGGTCGGGCTGATGATGACAGTGGAGAACTTAGCTTTAAAGCAAAACGAAATACCGGTTGCTAGATGTAGAAGAAGTGTTTTTTTCAAATATGACATGCATAGGTAGCTGGCCAGTGTCTCACTCAAACGCCAGCATGTTGTCCTGCTTCTTGCTAATCAGCACTAAAACCTCACCGGTGTGATCCCGTAGGCAGATACTGTTTCGTGTGGCCTTTCAGTGCAGCATGGCTACCGTACGGATGGTGACTCAATCTCAGTGGCTTTTAACACCATTTTAGTATAATTCCTTCACGCCCTCTTCCGGTCACCAAATACACTCTTCAGTCACCAAATAGACTCTTCACTAGATTTCAAACGAATAATCGATTAGACTTCTTCACATGCACCTTGACCTGTCTAGCCTCTCTCCTTTCCTTCAGGCAATGACGCTCCGCCGAATTCCGTCCAACACATTCTCCTACTTTGTGGGTCTTATCGGCAATTTGGAAATTCCAAGGCCTCTGCGATCAAGTATTTTCGGTACTTATGTTCGACTGACCGGCTGCAAAATGGAAGAAGCTCAACAAGACCAGCTCTCCGAGTACTCAACCCTCAATGAACTCTTCACTCGGCAGCTGCGTTCTGATTGTCGGAAAGTTGACCAACACTCAGATCTGGTGCGTGTATTATTGCTCGCCTGATTGGCCGCTTCCTCTGAGAATGCTTCTCTGATTGGTTGGTGGCCAGTCTCACAACATTCTTCTCTTTACTCATAATGAGACTCTGATTAGAATCGGTCTGTGGAAGACGCTGCTGTCTCCCTCGACTGTGCGCTACCGACGATTTTGCACCGAGCTTCTGGTTCACTCCTCAGTGCACATGAAATAGAAATGCTATTGGAAGGGAGGATGACGTTCCTTATTGAAGGTGGACGGTGGAATATTAGCTAGCATAGTGTCGGGGGGGAGGAGGAGGTTGTTCAGCGTTGTCCCGTAGAGCTCAATCTGGAACCCCTACAGGTAGTCCTATAATAAACAATAATAATACAAAACCCTAGGTTATCCAAACCTGGGATTAAGGGTATGACTGGAGGACAGTAGTTGATAAGTCGGGAATTTCCAACCCAACGGCCTTTCTCGGCACTTATTCTACCATGGAATACCTGCTCAAGAAACCTGACTTGGCGTTTCGTCTAAGTCATAACAGACTCTTCCGCACTTCAGGAGTTTCCCGTGAACTGGAGGATGCGTGGTAGAAAGACAGCCTATTACACCGGTGAGACGAGTATTTATCTTCATGTTGGCCTCCACTCACATTACAAGGATCTGAGGGTACATTTCATCAGTTCCTCTCCTCCCCCCCCCCGCCAAACCACTGAATCACGGCAATACTATGCAACCTGCTCCTCCCACTAACTCTGCCACTGACTACTTTCCTCGTCGGCCATAAATCTCTTTTATCTCCTCACATCCTAGTGAGATGAAATTGGCCATAGCCTCCCTAGCTCACATCTTCTGTCCTGCGAACCACACGCCCTTCAGTTATTTCGTATGATTGCGGGTCGCTGCTCACCTTGCGAGTTTTATTTCGTCCGTAGCAGCTTTCGCATGCGTAATCTTCGATAAATCAGGAGGGCTAACAGAACTCGTGGTGTAGCTGAGCCGGCTGAAAGTCCTCAGTCCACAAGGTTCCAGTACTCCAAAAGTTTTGCGGACAAGGGCAAGGCGACTTGGAACGTGCAATTCTGGCTGATTAGTTGCCATTGATAGCGGCCAGTGCCCCAAGCCCAGATCAGGAAGCCTTGGGTTTCAAACCTTGACTCCTTACTCACTGAGCCGCGGGATGCCGATCGGGGATATGCAATCTCATCTCGATGGCAGGGCGGAATGCGTACGTTCTGTTTCGCCTTGGATCTCCGATCTGGAACCTGCGCGGGTGGTCGCATAGCAACGAGCAGTCAGAAACGGAGAGGTATGACCGACTTAGACGAGGACTCCAGGGTGGAGCAACGTCCGTGTTCCATCCTTAAGTCAGGATAGATTGGTAAACGGCATTCCCATCTGACGCAAATACATATACGATCATCATATCAGTATCATGTCTGAGTGATGATGTCAGGCAGGTGAACGCTGGCAAGTGCGGCGTCTATCTAGGGCTAGTGCATCGAAGAGTGACTTTCTGCGACTTTGGAAAACCGACTGTCTTTATGGTCTTTTTATCCGTGCATTGTAAAAACTGCTCGTGTCAGTAAAATTAGACGTTACGCACACCCAATAAGGAGTGCTACGTACGCTTTTAACTTCGACTGAAGAAATGTGTCTTCACCGCATGTGCTCGAATTGTTCTTCGTCCAGCGTAAGATAAGTTATTTAATGAATCGACCACCCTGTCATTTACTGACTTCAACCATCCCATTAGTGTTTTGATTGCCACTTTACTTACGAGTCTAAGGCAAAGCAAGCACTCCTCACACACGTGTAGGCATAAGCGATTGTCTTGTCATCGTCCACTTGATCTCGTCTACCGGCGCAACCCTTTTCCCGTCCCATTCGCAGTTTCAGTTGTCACCCACATGCTAACCGGCCAGCTCTTATGAACGCTTGACTATACTGGTCTCGTCGGACCTTCCTCAATGCAATATTGCCTAACCCATCTTGTCCATACTTTGGCGTTGGATTTTACCTGAACGTATCGAGCCTCCCCATCTAAGACAAGGGAGGACATTGTTTGCGGTGCGAAGCCGTCCGGTAGTGCCTTGGGTTCCTCGGTGTTCAGTTTGGGTTGAAAGCACTGGATGTAAGGACTATTTCATCAAGAGCTGCTAGAGTCTCCTCAAGGGCTTTTTTGAGCGAGTTGCCCTCAGCACGAACAAGGTCCGAGACGCGTAGTCGCGGACTGCAGTAGACAGGACCGGGTCCATCGCGTTATCAAAGGAGACGGACGGTAAGACACAACCTTGTCGACGAAGTACTCGCTCTCCTCACCATAAACCTCAAAACAGATGCCACTAGGTCTGGCTACCCTGGGCCTCAGGCTGCACTTCTTTTGCCGGTGCATTTTCGGTTTATCCTCATTCAAGAAAGGCGCTTTTGCTGACAGCAGTACTAAAGCTTTTATCTGGTTTGGAGTTAGGTTTCTTTTTAGTTAAACAGCGAGTTTCGCAAATTCCTCAAAGGGTCCACTCAACGATTATTCTCAAATATAGTTTTTTTCACTCTAGGTAGACACTGTCATGCTCTCCTAGTCATTATTCTGTTTATTTTTTCTTTCGTTTGCTTTTAAGACCTCCCCTGCCGATGGCACCGTGCTGTACACTGGGCCGGTAGATGAAACAACGAACCAGCTCTTTCAGGTCAAGGGAGTTAACTACAGCATGAGCGAGTTTCTCGGCCCTACGGAGGCCTTTCTGACGCCGGGAGCGATAAGGAAGAAGAAGAAACTGGGTCTCTACCAGTGTGTCATCTACCTCGGTCCCGGTGACTATCATAGATTTCACACCCCCGCCGACTGGACCATCACCACCCGCAGGCACTTTCCCGGTGAGTCGTGGACCAACGTTACTGCCACTGTAGGTACCACAGCACCAGTAGATTTGCTAACTCATGAAATGTTGACCGAGATTCTGGAATGCGCATTCGACTCAAAAAGATTAGTAGGGCTGTAATATTAATCACCTTGAAGCATGATCCCATAATAATTCAGTTAGTCCAAAATACCGACGTTTGAACGAAATTCTTTCTGGCCGCCTGCAGAAACTACAATCTATAAAGAGGGGCCGCTTAAGAAGTATAATTATTTTTAATGAATTTTCGACGCCTTTATAAATTAAAATATATTTCATAGAAAGCATGCATAAAAATATTCATTCTTTTACTCATTTGGTTGAAAATTACGTCTCCTTCAAATTTTTTACCTGAGAGAAGGGCGTAATTCGGTTTTATAAAGTTTTTTATTATGAGATTTTTAAGACCGAGAAATGCCTGTTCATAAAACATCGCATCTTCGCGTTTGCTAATGTCGCTTGTAAAGTTTACAATATGGCTCAAATCTACTGCTAAATTTTATGAACCCCATATGATCCCCTTTCTGCCGTAGAGAAATGCATGATTTTCCGTACACGGAAGATGCACAGCTCGTAGTTTGGAAATCCCGAATGCAAGTGCAACTAACATAATTCATGAGCTTTCCGTCCTTGGGGAGGATAATTCGTTGAACCGTCCAAATCTACTGCTATAGATCGTCACGCGTGGAGAGGTACAGTTCGGGACATCATCGAGGCCGGCTAGATCAAGCATGAGCTCAGCCATACCCCAGTACAAGTGCAACGGCAGGTGGGGTTCAGAATTATTCAGGAATTAGAAAGGTTTTTTAAAACCGAATTATACCCTTCCTCCAAGCATAGAATTTGAAGAAGACGTAATTTCCCACCAAATGAGTAAACGAATGAACATTCTTATGCATGTTTTCCAAGAAATATGTTTTGATTTATAAGCACATCGAAGATCAATGAGAAAAAGTTCACGCCACTTAAGTAGCTACTTTTTACAGAGTATGCTTTTTGCAGGCGGCCTGAAGGAAGTTCGCTCGAAAGCCGACATTCTGTAGTAACTGAATTATTATGGGATTATGCTACAAGGTGATTAATGCTATAACCCTACTTAAGTAATCTTTTCGAGTCGAAAGCGCATTCCAGAATCTCGGTCCACATTTCATGAATTAGCACATCTACTGTAGTACCTGAGGGTATTTGTCCTGCTGCCTTCTGGGATTTTAACGGCAAACACCAGTGACGGTCCAGTCGGTGCCTGCCTCCACGGAATCATGTCCTGCGGTGGTTGGCTTGAGTCTTGCGGATCTTTTTTCATTTGGCCTTCCGTCCCCGAGCACCAATGACAGTCAAGTTGGGCCGGCGTCCAGTTGGTTGAGCATGTGCGCCTTTCTAATTGGTCACAGCGGCGGCGACCCTAACTCGGAAAGACGGTCCGAGAAAGGACAAATGAACTCCTACTGTGGTCGGCGTACGGCATGAGAGAGTTGGCGATCTCATTGTACTGTCAACTTCAGGTGTCATTGATCGGTGGTGGCGTTCCACACTCGGGACTTGGTTCCTAAGCTGCAGTATCCTCCGAAATGCTCTGCTCTTTCCCGGGCCAACGGCACGTGTCAGCTAGATTTTGCCGTCGGAGTAGGAGGGTTTTTACCGTGAAGGACTTTTCAAGTTGAGCCACCATTTTTAACCGTAATCACTTTTATAAATTAATGCAGGAACCTGCCTGCTACCTGTTGGCAACGTCAAGGTGACAACAGTCTGCAGGCACCTGAAGAACTTCAGCACAATGGCCGCCTGAGACATTCTGCATAACTATTGGTTGGCAAACTGTACTCGCAGCACGGATACTAACTAAAAACCCGGAGACGCGTTTCGCCGATTTTATGCTCTTGTATGGCTCAGCTATAGGGGTTAGCCTCATCAGTGGGTCCCCCATCGCTCCATATGCTGGCTTCTGGTACATACTCCAGTTTTCACCGTCAAACATCTTAATTTTCTTTGAAGTTTATGCGCGAACTTTGAGTAAATTCTTCGCCACAAAGCCTCTCAAACTGGGCCCGAAAGTTGATTTACGCTACCTTTACGTCATCTCACGAGATAAGTTCGATTGTTCATCCACGGTCGCTATCCAAGGCCTCTAAGACAGGCCGTGCCGTTGCTTTGGCTCTAGATGTGATCCACACAGGTCTGCGGCACGCCTTAGACGGTGGATTTACGCCAATTCATCCGCCATAACCGATCTCCAATCGGTTCGACTTGAATAGGCCATTGAGGTGCAGGAGAGGATGCTAGAATTGGGTTATTCCAGCGCGGATCCAGCCCATACTTCTATCATTATTATAAATCGGGCGCGCCTTCAAGCTCTCACGACACGCTTACCGCCTTGGCTGCATAGCGGCAGAATAACGTAATCCTCCGCTATGCTAAAGGTCAGACTGCAATGCCTCCTTTCTACAGGGGTCCTGTTCGCGACCCACCTACAAACGATCTGGAACCCATTTATACGAAGTCCGGTTCTCGTTTATGCGGAGACCAGCCTGCTTGTGTGACGCGAGTGGACGTTCATTCAACCGTCCCGGGTAACGGTAGGGAGAAGGGCCCCAAGCATCTGTTGCATACAAAAAACTGCCTACTACACTTTTCTGAGTAGACCGCATATTATTCAAGACTTTAAGTCTTGGGTTTGTAGTGTTAGCGAAGATATTCTTATGGTTTTATGCAGCCTCGGTGACAGAGTATCATCTAAGTCAGCAATTGAACTGACATTTAACCATCACAAAACTGCTGATCATGTCAGCAGGTATTCTAGTACTGGCATTGTTTTGTTGGCCAGATGAACATAACTATCCGTTATATTAACTTTCGCATTTACGAGTACGAGATGCATTAAAAAATGTGCTAAAAGGTAGCACAACAGCCGCAGACAAACTAAAATATACGCCCTACTTAGACAAGTATAGTGGGTAGTATTCTGTGTGCAACAGATGCTTGGGGTCCTTCTCCATACTGCTTCCGCATTCCATTCTTGCCAATCTCCGGTCGTCGAGGCTTGCTTAAGTCACTAATGCACCCTCGACACAGAGGGTGGTCCTCGTCGCTCGCGGTGTCAAACAACCGAGTCATTACTCATTGTAGGCCACTGCTTTGTTAATGCCTTAGCCACTCCTATCTGTCGTTTAAAAGGTTGCCTCCTCCCTGGTGCCATTACTCACAGGCCTCCACCATCCTCTCCTCTCTCTTTTATTCGCCACAGGTAAATTACTCTCCGTTCGGCCCTCCTTAACGTCTCGTCTGCCGGGTCTGTTTGCCCTGAACGAACGCGTTGTCTACTTGGGCCGCTGGCAGCACGGTTTCATGAGTTTTACCGCTGTGGGTGCCACTGGCGTGGGATCCATCTGCGTGGAGGCAGACTCTAGCCTGACCACCAACAGACCCAAGCTGGGCTCCTTCGGCCTGCCCAGCTATCGCCACTTGACAGAGGCACCCTCCGCCTACCAGGAGGTTGCCATGGCAAGTAGTGGCGGTGGGCTGAAGGTGAGGAAGGGAGAGGCCTTTGGCTACTTCCAACTAGGTTCTACTATTGTCCTCGTCTTTGAAGCGCCGCTCGAGGGCTTTGAATGGAATGTGCGCGCCGGCGATAAGATCCACTATGGAAGGCGCCTCATTACAGATTCTCCATGAAGCATTCCCGTCCCGCACATTTTACCGCTTAACTGCCGCTACCGCAATTATGTTACCTAGTTCTTTCTGTACATCTTTAACCTCTCCACCCCATTTCCCCTGCGAGACTCCTTATTTTGAATTCTTACCCTTTTAGAGCGCATTTTATGTATTCCACATGTGCCCAATTTTTAAAACTTTGGTGGTTATTTGTACTGACCTCTCTTCTCTGAATACAAAACTTTGCCATCCCCTTTCTTGCCGACTTGTAGTACAGAGGTGCTTCAGTCAGAAAATAAGATGATTCGACCCTTGTTATCGACGATATCCTCCATGTGTTCAGCATCAGGACGGGCCCAGGAACAGTGACTTGCGCGTAAGTTGATTTATAGTGGTGCTGTGTCGGTATTTGCCTGAGCAGACCGATACCTCGTTGAAAACCGCAGGGAAGGCTCTATTTTGCGTAAGCTACTTTTAGAGGATGAGGAGTTCATCACGGGAGATAGCGACAGGCAAGGATGGCGGACCAATCTATATTGCTGCGTTTGTTAAATGTACCTGCCTCACAGTCACACTGACTGAATTTATAAGCTCCAGAATTAGTCGCGTGTTCGTGCTTCGGTTTGGCTCATAAACAGTCGCCAGAGGCAACTTTCATTTGGGCGTTTTCAGCATGATTGGCATAGTATTAGCATTGAAAAGTGAGGGGGTAGGAAGTACACTTGTTTCGGAACTGTAAACTGGGGCACGATGAATTCGGTTGCTCGGGACTATCTCTGCTGCCAGTTTGCAAGTACATCGGTTTCCTCAGACTTGGAGGTACGCCTGCGTTCTATAAGTGGTCACAATTTTAGTTTTGGTGTCATCCGTCCTCGTCGCCGTTACGCGTTCGGCCATCCGCGTCTAGAATAGTCCTGTCTCTCCGAGGTACTTGTTCTATTCAAAGCTGCACTAGATCCGACAGACGACTCCAAACGTCTGTTATCGCAGCCTCGTTACTGTCAGATGCCCACATTCGGCCTGTATGCAACCAAGTTCGGGTGGTGTGAGAAGGCGGCCGGAGGCTTCCAAGATGGTCTGGACGCGTGGGGGCGCTCGGCAAGACGTTGATTCTGTGCGGTCTGGCTCCTCGTCTCTGCGTAGGTAGCCACCCTTTCTCCTGGTTCTTGTCATAGATCGAAAGCTAACTCGGACGACCCGGTGAACGGGCGAGCGAATGGACCTCAAAACACTGATCAGCAGTAATTGTGTTAGTTACCGGAGTTCGTATGGATTTTGAAGAAACGAAGAGAAAGAAGGCAAAAAGGTTAATGAGGTCGTCTCAAGATGAGGTGGGGATTGGTGGGAACTCCTCGTCTCTTGTCAGACATTCCGGTATAAACGAGTGTCGTCATTACAATGAATACTAAGAGGTGAAATGCCAAAATCCCTTAAGTGTTCGCTGGTAATCATAAAAAACTGCTGTATCATTCAACTAAATCGTGAAACCAACCGCAATGGAGTTCGGACCAAAGATCGTCGGTCTTCGAGAAGTGGGGCGGGATCGTTGTTCGTCACTACATCAGAACGAAAGACCTGAACGCGTCGGGCATGGCCACGTCATGGATCGACATGCGCATCACCAATGCCAGAAGGGATATAATTACCTCTGCTGGCAAAACCGCCAATAAATCCGGCCGACGAGTTATCACTTGAGCGTTCCCGCCATAAGCGCAGTCCCTGATCACACTTCCTCCTTTGCAAACTGGAAAGTTGACAGCAACCAGTGTTTTTTAAAAAAACATAATTTCTGTCACGATGGCTCATGTGACCGTGCGCAATGCAGTCCGTCCAGGAAGTGCAGGCCCATCGTGTGAACTCTCATAAACGTCGAGGCCCTCTGAAGTATTCCTTGAAAATAAATACAACACGTCAAAGCTTGTTGAAGGAAAATGGCTCTTCGTTACTTCTACACGAAGAAGTGCTTTTTTGTGAGCCGGATGAAAAGTCGGTAAATATACGCGAATTGAGAAAGTCTGAGTAGGACGGACTAGGTGGGCGAAAGAAGAGTGAAGATGATTAGAAGTCTGAGACTGCCAAATGATGCGGACTAAGAGCGGATAAGCGCTGAAGGTAACGTGCCTAAATGCAGGGAGCTTGTCTGATCGGCGAGCGCGCAGCAACTATCATTACCAAGTCAGACACGGAAATATGGACCCCCTGTACTTTCAGGGAGGTTCCCTGTTCCCGTGTCCTAACTAACCCTAATACTAGCCCCAATTTTTTATCCTAACCCTCCAAGTCATAACACTAACCCTAAGCATGGTCTAAGTCCCAACCCGTCTATCACTAACCCCCTCCCAACTCCATAATTAAGAGCAGTCACCACCAGTTCTGGGAAATCCATATTCCCGTGCCCAACCAATTGCTCTGACGGTACAATATGTGGCTGGCAGCCATCATGACCGGTCGGGTCTCATTGTTCAAGTCCTCGCTGCCTCAAGGTCATTCACTCCTGGCAACGAGCTGTCCCAGACGAGCTGACCTGAAGCCACTCGACCGATTTCAGCTCGGACACAATTGCGTCCACACAGCGTCGCGGCTATCCATGCGCCATTTGAACGCGCCACCCCTGCAACAAGCAAAACAAGCCACTGGGACACCACCCCTCGGCAAATGCAACACACACTGACGGGACACCACTTGAGCTTGGACGACGAGCCTACAAAAGTGGCTGCCACCACTGTCCCAGTGACTCTCATGCATGACTGGACGCAGTTACCACCAGCCCTGGCTTCGCCAGTGGCCACTGCCGCCTGAGAGGACAGCCGCGGGTTCTGTGCACAATAAACCCCTCATTCTGGTGCCTTCCGTCTTCTCCTTCCAACATGGGATTCGACCTGGTCGTTGTAACTCTCAGAGCAGTTGTTCTCACTGCTGTGCCGCAACAAGTATCCAGTACAGGAAATGCTCATAGGAGGCTATTTGCTCTTCAGAAGAAACGGATAAAAAACGGGAGAGGAAGGGTAATCACTTGCGTTTCATGCTTAATAAAAAAGTTACTTCCAGGCCACTGTCAGGACAATTCGAATGTCGGTTCCTATGATGTCCACCGCGTGTTCACAGGAGGCTGAAAGCAGGCGCGTAACTCGTGCATGAATTAAATTGTAGTGGTAATATGCCTGCGCAGCATCTACTTCACCCTCCCCTCTTCCCCGGCTGGGCCCGGTGTCACGACCAAGCCAAAAAACCGGAGGTGAAAGAGGGTGTACGTGATTGACAAAGAGACAGCTTGCACTTAGGCGCATCGCCAAGCCCACTGATTCACAATAAACACTTGACCAGGATTTAAAACAGCAACAAATATTAGGGAGACGGCTCGGATCCCAATTGGCGCAGCGTGAGTCTCTAACTGGGACTGCCACACGTCATGAATGTTCGTATTTGTTATGAGTGCGCATTCCCGGTAATGCCTGTCAGATTCCGATGTAGCTCACGTGTCGGTCCATCACATTTACTGCCTGGCTCGTTTCAGGGGTAGTTTACGCGCCTAAACGGTTACCCATTTTATTTATTTGCCTAGCCTGTTCAGGAAAATGCACATTTTGCATGCGGAATATGCTAAAGGATAATTTTCCCAGCCAAAATGTTTGGAAATTTGAACGGAAATTTATATTACCCTGTATTCAGGCAGCTCTCTATGTTAGCAGTTGTCCGAGGCTAAGCTTACGCATCCGTGCGCGTTTTTTTCAATAAGATAAGAGTAATTTTAATTCGAGAGCCACACCAAACAGAGCCTGCTGCACTTGAAACTTGATTTCGTTTCCCATGTTTATCAGATGGAGTAAGATGTAAGCAAGAAGGATATTTAAAAAAAACAGAGGTCTAGTCAATTATAAAAAAAGTCCAATTCGCAAATCAGTGTGATTTCATGACCTAAAATGTAGTAATAACGCCTATAGGCGTTGTTTAGTCTAAACTTTGTGTCATTTTCCTGCTCTTTGCGAATGCTCGACAGCCTACCACGAAAAGCCGTCTACCACAAAGGGATATTTCAGCTGTTAAGCATATGGTAAGACGCTTTTTGTATGGTCTAGTTTCCGCTAAGGCGTGATCTAGAAGCGGAACGAGAAGATTATAAGCAGTTGTCACAATATCTTAATAATTGTATGGCCACTCAGCTGCGCATTTCCATTCATAGAACTGAGCCTAAAAGTAACCAAATTTATCAGAATGGGCTCCAACTTTAAGAGAAAAGTGAACTCAATCGTTTTCAACAGAAAAAAGTGTCACTATTTTTCAGGGAAGTGAAAAAGCCGGCCAAACGATCCACCTTTTAACTTCACTTCACCTTGGAAAAAGGAAAAGTACGCAAACAGCCGTAGCAAAATAAGTCATCAAAGCGCGTTTTACCGCCCTATGTTACTAGAGAAAGTTTTTTCAACTCATTTAGGGAATATTCATTGCCAACTGACATTGTCAACAGTCATTTTTATCGGCGGCGGTGCATCATGCTTGGATGAGTCTACAAATATAACCCAATTGGCCATCTGCACTGGAAAGCATGCCTGAGAACTCATTAATTCGGTAAATATTTGTTGTGTGTCTTTGTGTGGAGTGGCGGACTGGTGGACTGAGAGCCAGACTGTAACGGCTCTCTCTTAACGTGACCTACGACATTCTCACGCATGCGAGATGTATGTCGCCTAACCTCCTGTTGAGTGAAATCATCGTGTTTGTGTTTGGTGGGTGGGAGGAGCAGGTCGTGTATGTGGCATGTCAGTCAACGCGCCCATTCCCCGCACCTGTCAGCTGACCGGGTCGGACAGTAGCTGAGACCTGGGAATGGGAAGGGGGAGTGAGGTCGACTACTTAGCCCATTTTCCTCACTATAAACAATCTAACGCGCTTGAAGATATCACGGTGCGCTAAAAACCGTGGCTTGGAAAGTTGCCAACTGACGGGATAACTTGGACCTCGCAGTCGGCACAGTGTTGTGTGTTTGTGTGGAGCGGCCGACTGGTGGCCTAGGAGTTAGCCTG